CAGTTTCCCCTATGTAAAATCTAGGCATGGTACAGCTACATTCTAATTTATAAATGACGTTTCTTTGGTTCCATATGTTAGTCTCACTGTTATGTGCATTTATTTTTCTATTTAAACTGTTATTTTACCGTAAAAATTATACCGTAATTGTTTAATTTATTTTTAATTTTTTCAAAAATATTCATTTCATAATGGATTTTTAAAAATTTATAAGTTATTTTATCAATTGGTTGTTTGTGTGTATTTTCTTTTCTATTTATAATCCAGTTACTGATCATGCGCTTGTTATAGCCATTCATTAAGTACATTTTTAGAGCGTCTTGTATTTCGGTGGATTTATCTATTTCATTCGTGGTTCATTGTGTAATTTTATCAATGTACAGTACGTGTAAAAATATTCATCTTTATATAACTGGGTACCTCTGATGTAAAATGCATAACACTGTCAATAGTACATGGTTTTTTTAATATTTTTAAAAGATTATTTTGTCTTTGAGTCTAGTGACTAAAATATCTAAGAATGGTAACTGACAGTGTTAATGTCAGTATCTATCTAATTCACTTGTTCCTGGATTTGATCAGCCTGTATAATAATGTTATCATATACTACAATCATCAACGTAACAATACAGTTCTATTATTCCCTTGATGTTAACAACCTCTTGATCTATATTGGACATAATTAATTCTGCAAGAACTGGACGTATTATTGAACTAATATGGATACCATCATTTTGCCTATAGAATTTTTCATTGCTCACAAAATAATTATTCGCTAATCGTACCATATCTATAATCCATTGTTGACGGTTTGGGGTTTTCAGTGTTTCTAAAATTCTGTTTCGTTTAATGGACGGATACATACTGTCTATGTCCAAGGAAGCTATCCTATAAGTTGGTTCAAACGTTAGTTTTTAATTTTTGTATAAAACAGTCAGTACTCTGTATGCTGTAATATGATTTTTCTAGGGTGTTTAGTTTTTCCTTCAAGATAAGCTCTAAATTATAAAGATATATCCTTTTGTATTTATCAGAGGTGTATACGAGACTGGATCTTTACGTGTTTTAACTCTATGAAAACTTCAGTATTCTGTTTTCAATTTTTAACATAAAATGCTTTTCTGTTTGACTAATTAGGTTTTATTTTTCTAATTTGTCAAGTATTTTTAATTTTTTGTTTAGTAGGTCTGTTGGATTATTATTAAGTTTGTTATACATATTTTAATCTAGTAGTTGCTTTCATCTTGCTCCTTATTCACAATTATTACCTGTTTTGTTTTATCTGCTTTGACTATTATTAATTTATTATCATTTAAAAAGCTTTTTAATTCTCTATTTTGTGTCCATATCTTATTTTATTTTTTCTATTTCTATTAATTTTATATTTAAACAATTTGTGCTGTAATTCTTTCCTCGAGTTAATTTTTTGCTCCTGTGTTGTCTGCGATAAACTAACGATATTTTCTAAACCGACAGCCCGTCCTTTTCTATCAACTGTATTGGGACTGTTGAAACTTAAATCTTTGCTTAGCATTTTTCTTACATCGGTCGGTATCTGGACATTAGTTAAGTTGACAATTATGCTATTCGGCCACTTTCTTGAATGGTTGGTTAATTCAATTTTTTAACTAATTTTTGAATTTTTTATAATAATAATCCTGATTATTTTGTGTAAGGGGTTCTCTTCTATTAGTGTTTGAATCATTTCTTAGCTTCTTAATTTGTCTAGTTAGTTTTTTTATCCTACATTTTTTTATGGCGAATATCAGATTTCATTATTATTTTTTTTACATTTACTACATCGTGTTTCTGCATATATTTTACAATGCTATCTTTTAAATACCAAATGTCGACATTCAACCAATACCTTTCGTTTTGTAGGATTTCCTCTCTTGATGCATTGGACTTTCTGTTATCTAGAAAGTCAAACACATCTAGAAGGTCTAGAAATAATAAGAAATAAAGAAAAAATCATGAATAATAATTCTGGCCAAAAATTACATGAATCGTGGTACACATATTTGACCAAAAGGGAGGTGTAAATAAAAAAAGAAAAAAATGGTAGCAGTTCCTAATTGTTCAGTGAATTGTTTTATTGTTTTAACAGTGTCTTTTATTACGTATACCGTTTGATTTTACTGCTTGTTTTAATTATACTACTATAAGCATTGAATCAACTTGTCTAGTGTAAGTTTACAACATTTCTATTTATGTTATTTCCGAAATTTTAAAATCATTAACATGCTGTTACTGTTATAGCAAACAGCCAGAAATCGATGATTTGTTCTTGGTATTTTATCAAACATCGTGACTTTATTGTACATTTTGTAAATGTATAGTATCAATTTCACAAATATGTAAGTTGAATTACATTTAGATTATGTTAAATTAACAGTAAAAAATAACTTGTATGTTTTATTTCCTAAATACTGTATAGTGACATTATAAAAAGCTGATGAGAGACTTAAGGTCCAAAATGCATTCTTTTTGCAAATAGTGATTTTCTAAGGCTGGTCTTGTGTCGAATGACGGGTGTAATAAGTCTAGTGATAAAGGAAAGTCAACATAGTGCTTACGAGTTTATACCAAAACTAGACAAGAAGCACATTAGAGTTCTGAAATATAATAGAAGTTTTTTAATCCAGCACTTATTGAACCAGAGTGGTGTCGGATTATCAAAATTTCCAGACAGCAAAGAAAGAGGCAGTTGGATCCTACTGCACCCATCTAGCTGTTAAGTGATCCTGTCTTGGAGTATAAGTCGACCAGAGCCTTTCTGGCATAAGCATGGCTTTTAGTTTGACAGAATAACCACTGCTTTCCTCGACCTGATGCTAAAACTCTGTGCGCCTTCCATGTCCCTTGCCCATCGTTTATTGCTTGCTACGACATCTTTGGAGGTCCATTATTCCTGTTAGTACTCCGTTTTTGCCACCCTCTGAAAAGTAAGTGATGTATTCCACTAGTATTCCATAAATCAGAATTTGTTTGGACACATGGTATGATAAAGACCTGCAAAAAATATTAATGTTTTTGCAGGTTTTTTAATTGATATTAACACAGTATAATCATATCCCATGTCATATTCAGACTGATTAAAGAACATATGTAAACAAATTAGAATCATGTGACAGAATGTGCCAGTACAAATTGTACGCCAATATCTGCAATGTTCAAATGCATATAACTTGTCGAATTTTGTGAAAATAGATGTGATGACGATCTAGCATTTTTGATAATCCGATACCACAGGTGCCGGATTAACAAACATCTACTGTATGAGTGCTTAATAAAGTCCTTATATACCGATAGACAAGCAACACACATCGGAGACACGTGTGGAATTTCTTTTTCCCATGTCTTCCCGTCACATTCATTATGTGGCGGGAAGCCATGGGAAAATGAGAAATACACACAAGAAATGAATGAGAATGCAGAAACAAACATACAAGTAATACAATTTTATAGTCCACATCCAACATGCACGTTGACATTTCACATTTTCTTTTCGTGCCATTCACATATGCAAATGGCCTTTTGTACTAAATTGGTCAAGCTCTGATTTCATAATTAATTTTCTTACCATACCATGCAGTTTTCAAGACGGGAGTGCTAAATTCTAAATGTTTGTGGCACCCCTAGCAGTAAAATTCTCATCTTGTAGTGCATAGCTACTTTACTATAACCATGTCAAGTTCTTAACCATAGCTATCTGCATTCATCTGTTGTGTAATGTATAAGGACTTTACTATGCACCCATATACTCGGAACTCCGAATGTTGTTATTTTTAGTTTATCGTGAAATTCTAAACTGATAATTTGTATTTCTCATTTTATTAAATGGTTAATTTATTATGCTAGATTGGCAATTAAACACTTCACATACTTATGATAAGCAAACTGCTTTTACTCTCCTGTTAGGCTGCCAGATGTTTGGTAAAAGCCTATTGAATGGTTTGCCATTGTGTTGGTCTTGACTATACTGGAACGTACCCAAAATAGTGATTCTCTAGAATTTTTCCATCACTCATAAAATAATTTTCTTACATTTTGTCCCAGTTGGACCGCAATAAATTGTTAATATTGTGTGTGTAATATACCTAGGCTTTATTATAATATATAGTTACTCCATATCTATAAATGCCATTTTATGGTATCGTTCGATAGTCTAATATATCCGTGTACCTAGCTCATTTTACAGGGTTACGTTTTGGTAGACATTCAAATTTGACATAAAACTATGAAGAAAATTTTAGGTTTTTAATAACTCTAATTATTTCCATATAAATACAGTAGATTCTTTATAAAGTATGCGCTTGATATAGCATATGATTTTGTCAATCCTTACCTTTATGTATACAGCAAATGGTTTTGAGTTTGCCATATATATCCACGGTGGCCAAATTGCGGCCAGCGATCCGAGCACGGCTCTTCTAAATCCTTACCGTGGCTCCCGTGTATTTAATTATAATAAAGATACAGGGTTACGTATACATTATATAAAATACCATTTCGATAGATATGGCTCTTGTTGGGACAAGGTTTGGCCAGCCCTGCAAATGTAAATATCATTCCCATCATCACGACTGCTATTAGTATTCCGTGGTTGTGACATACATACCGTACATCTGACAGAGAGACATACGTACAAGATATCTCTACATTTCGATGATTTTATACATTTTTATCGAATATAATTTAGTGTAAGAATCGCTAGCTGCTCCTGTATATTAGTACAGTAGAGCGTCGTTTATCCGAATCAATTGGGGACTGAGGTTGTTTGGATAACTTATTTTTCAGAGAACCGATTATGTACAAAAAAATTAACCTATCCCGTGTTGAAATTTCTCTTCAGTGCGTGTCGCTTCGCGTTGAATTTTTTTTTAAAGTTAAAATATTTTGAATTAGTCACGGTAATCGAATCGATGAGAGAAAGTCTCATATTAATTAAAGCATAAAGAATAAAATAAAAACAGTGAGTAATGCAAATTGATTTCTAGGTTATACACATGGAAAAAACCCGTCAGGGCCAGTTTCGGAGCGGCGAATGTCACATCTGCCACAGACACTTCTCGGACAAGCGGATGCTGAGACTCCACTTAGACACAGTGCATAATAAGATCCGTCCATTTCTCTGTAATTACTGCGGTTACACGGCATCCTGCAAGAGCACCCTGAAGATGCACATGAGACAACACACCGGGGAGAAACCGTTTTCCTGCGACATGTGCGACTATCGCACTTCGGACCACAACTCTCTTCGTCGACACAAGATGAGACACTCGGGCGAGAAGCCGTATAAGTGTCCGTACTGTACTTATGCCTGCATTCAGGTATTTTTTTCCTATTCTACAAATTGTTGTTAGTTAATAATTGACGATAGAAACCATATGTGTGCTGTTTGAATATTTTAAATATGGGTAATCCGTGATTAACTCATTTGTTTTAATGCTGTTTGTTAGTTATGAACAATTTTTGTATTGTGCTTTCTTGGTGGTTCGAAAGCCTTCATACCCAGACAAAATAACATTTGTTAACTTACCACCAGATTCTTTATTGTCTTTCTCTTAGCAAACAATTATTACTCAAATATTGTTAAATATGTAAACAAATTTGATTCTAATTTCAGCATACCGATTGATTTTACTAATTTTTTCCCTTCTTTGCAGTCAAGCACTTACAAGACACACTTGAAAAACAAACACCCAGGTCGGGATGACGGACTGATGTTCTCGTGTTCCCTGTGTTCGTTTCGCACCATCAAGCGGGACACTTACGTCACCCACATGACAGGTCACCAGTCTGGAAACGGAAGGGATTCCACCGTCTCCGTTGGTCCGAACACAACCGACGGTCACGTTGCAGATTCCCGAACAGAGGGTTCCATTCCCCTGGTGGAGGTCATCGACATCGGCATGATGAATGGCACAGACGACCACCTGGGCCCTTCCCAGTTCGTGTTCGGCACTCTAGACTGAAGCACCTCTGCGGCAATTAAGTAACCGAAGCCTTAAATTTTTATTAAAATGCAAAATGAATGTTATGACGAAATTAAGACAGAAAACGGTAAGTGCGATTTGGGGCAAACCCAAAACCGACAAAAATTGCCATTTTTCTATTGAAATTTTTTATCGGACTGACCCGAAACGGTCTCGAGCCACAAAAAAAAAAATAAAGGATCGTACCGATCATTGTTAAAATTTGCGCATCGTCGGCGACGTTAATATTCCAAGATACTTTTGTCGCAATTTAAATCTCGTCATATCACACGAGCTTACGCTTTTTTAAATTGCAAAGATCGAAAACGTTAATCTCTGTTATGTTTGAAATCCGTAAATTTCGGTGTTTTTATATATATATATATTTCTAGTGGAAGACACTCTAGTCTTAGATCAAAATTATTTTGTATGTATGATAGATAAGTGTAATTTTTCGATTTTACTTTATAAAAAAGTTTTATTACAACTTTCGACAATTTTTTTTTATTTACACATGCATTTATGTTGTTTTAACTAATTAATTTCTTAAAATTTGTCTAGAAACGGTTGGAGTTTTGGATTGCGAGTGGTTTTGAACGAGAAGGGGCTCGTTTTGTACAATTACGAACAAACCCCAGCCGATACCGGGCATGCTCTAACTGAAAATGTCTCGAATTTGTCTTTGGCAACTCTGATTAAAATTGAAGGAGAAAATTGGGCTCGAACTATCCCTAATCATCCTAATCATAGTACTTTTTGACTTTCCTGGAAAATTTAACTTCTAAATCAAGGATGACATTCATCTAAACTAAAAGAGCTGGAATGTATTGTGGCCAGTGCACCGGATAATCCCATTTAAGTATGTCATCTGTTCTGTCTTTTCGAGCATAGAGAATTCTATAAGGGCTAAGAAATAGTATTATTGCTTTTGTGTTGAGTTAAATTAATATGACTCAAATTGAAATTTTTCCAGTGAGCATGTATCTATATCGTATTTTTTTTTATCTGACCTTACCCCCACTAAAGTAGCCAGAAGTACGATGCCATTATAATCATCCACAGTTCTGAACTCAAAGACAGAGTGCATACCAGTCTAAGTAGAATGAGGAATTTCACAGTGAAATAGGGTTCCACTTAACATATAAAACTAGTGTATACTACAGTGTCATAATTGAAAGGATAGTTGTTATACTCAATTGATGTATCGAGTAAAAAAAAATGGAGTCCGTTACGTTTTTAGTATTAAAACGAACATTTTCAAGCATTTATTGACGACTATATAACAAAGGACAATTATAGAAAAGATTGAACTAGAGGACTACATTTGAAGACTTTTTATGCTTTAGGAAGATCTTTCCTGAAGGCAAAGGCAATGTATAGAGCTGAAAACAAATAATAAATATATTAGGCGATAACTTTTCAAAACAAACTAAGGAAACAAAAGTTAACTCACTTGCCACTTCCCACTCCGCTTGAGATAGGGTTCCCTACAAAAAAAAAGTCAATATGAGTAACCTCTATATGGAAAAAATGTTTAACACTATTATTTAATAATTGTACTGTACATTGCAAACTATGTTTTGATTTTGGAACCACTCCCATTTGTATTCATAGTTATTACAGATTATAACAAGAATGCATGAAAGATGACATTTAGCCCCAGTTGCCAGGCGAATGCTGTATGTTGTCCGTAATGGATCAAGTAGAACTTTTGAAAAAAGTTGCATAATTTATTTGGTATTGGCTTGCTCACTCACGGTTTGAAACAGAGAAAAATTGCTAGAGTACTTAGTTAAAACCCTCAAACTTTTGATTGTAATGTAGATTAACAATATACACTCAAATGATCAGCCCTTGTGTTTTTACTTAACTTGTAGAATTGTCCCAGGACAAAGCACCGAATTCTTCCATCTTTACTGCAGCTCTGCAGTAAAGATGGAAGAATTTGGTGCTAATTTGTTCTGCCACAATTTCATCCTGGCAAACAAAGGCTAAGCCAACATAGTTATCCAATTTAGATCAATCAGTGTATATAGGAATTAAATTCCTGCCAAGCACTCTCTATAGACGTAATCTGGCATGGTTTGTTTGGGAAACTGCTTTAAGTTTAAGTCAGCATTTATCACTGGAGTTGACCAAGGTGAAATACTATTATTTAACCTGTGAGATGTTGCTTATGTTCAGGTCAATCGTGCTGCTTACATTCTCCATTCTTATGTCAAATGTAGGTTCGCTACTTATCCAAGCTGCAAATAATCTTTCAGCTGATTGTCCAGTTACTCAGCTGAAAAGTTTATTCTGAGATTTCTGTTTAATGTAATAAAAGAAAGACAACTGTTCTCTCCTGAGAGATAGTGGGGGTTCATAAGCATCCACGTACAAACTTTGAACAGGAGAAGTTCGAAAAACACCAGTGCACAAATGCAATGCTGGATTGAATCCAGCATCAGAAGAGTAGATTCTCACGCAGAGCCATACACAATGCATCCGTAGTCAAGCTTTGAGTGGATAATGGCCCTATAAATCCTAAGCATAGAACATTTGTCTGCTCCCCAGGATAAGCAGCATAATACCTTTAGAAGGTTCAGAGATTTTAAACTTCTACTCTTCAAGTTGCACAAATAATGTAAGAACGTCAGTTTTTGGTCAAATTAACACCTAAAAACTTGGTCTCCTTGACCCCATTTAGGTGAATTTCCGGATCTAGGTGCAAACCACGCCTTCGGCAAAAGTGGATGCATGAGGTCTTCTCCATGTTAAAAGTAAAACCGTTGGTCTTGGCCCAATTGTGTATGCGATTTAGGGAGGTTTGCAGTTGTCTCTTGATAAAGCTCATATTGCTAGACTGGCAGGAGATCTGAAAGTCGTCCACATACAAAGAGTGTTTCACACTAGGAGGGAGACAGTTAGCTATGCTGTTAAATTTTAGAGTCACACTCAAAATGGAGCCTTGAGGGACACCTTCTTTTTGGGCAAAAGGCCTAGATAAAGTGATGCCCATCCTAACTTGGAATCTTTGATTCTGCAGGAAGTTTATAAAAATTGGCAAATTACCCAGCAATCCGAATTAGTACAGATCACGAAGTATTCCGTATCGCCAGCAGTGATCATAGGCCTTCTCTATATTGAAAAAAACAGACACTAAATGTTGACACTGTGTCGTTGAACAAAAGCTTTGCGTATAGGTGTTTCAAGGTTTACTAAATTGTCCGTGGTACTTCTGTTCCAACAAAATCCACTCTGATGTGGTGAAAAGTAGTTCTTTTCCTCAAGGACGAACATCAGGCATCTGTTTACCATTCTCTCAAAGAGTTTACACAGGCTACTTTTACAGCCTACACAGGGATTCTTGCAGTCTTTACCTGACTTGGGAATAATGATAGATAGCCTCCAAGAGTCGAGAAAAGTATGTTCTGTCCATATTCTATTAAACAGATTCAGAAGATTACAAAGGGAATTGTTTGACAGATTTTTAATCATGCAGGTGGATTTTATCCAGGCCTACAGCGGTATCCCAGAGCAAGATATCGCTTTATGTAGTTCTATTCTGGTGAATGAACCATTCCTTATCTAATGAAGAATACAATGTAAGTTTAAATATTTATTTTCTGTTTGAGCTTTATATGCCTGATAATTCCTACTATACATAATGTTGCTGGATGAGAAGAAAACGTTTCACTCAACAAATCGGCAATACCTTCTATATCACTGATTATTGTGCCATTATTTTCCAGCATGGACAGAGACTGAGAAGCATATTTCCCGTTGATTTTATCACAGACTGTTTTTGAGCTAATGGAAAATGTTATGCTAGAAACACACTTCCTCCAAGAATCTGTTTGGCTTTGCCTTCTTATTCTTCTAGCATTTGCCTTTTCAAAAGCAATTGAATTGTTAGCAGTGGGATATCTTCTGAAAATCCCCCATGCTTTCTTCTGTTCTTTAAATGCTGCCTCACAATTCTGATCCCACCATGGTTTTGGATGCTTTGGGTATCTGGTTGATGTTTTCCCCATTGTTTTTTCTGCTGCCTGAATAATACTGGAAGTGACAACTTCTACTGTGCCATTTATATCACAAATATTGACTATTTCCTCGAAGATTGGCCATAGAGGAAAATGCAGGCCAATTGACTGTTTCTAGTTTCCAGCATGGTGGACGAGCTGTTTCACAGTTTTCTCTGCCTCAGTATTTTAGAAATATTGGGAAGTGGTCACTAGAGAGTGGATTAGATCCAACCCCCCCATGTAAATGCTGAAAACAGATTTGGACTTGCTAATGGCAGTGAATGTTCTTGTTGGGGCATGGAAGTATGTCACTTCTCCAGTATTAAATAAATACAGTTGGACTATGAATCTTTTGATGGCTCTGCCTCAACAGTTGATATCGTGACTGCTTCACATTGGATTGTAACCATTGAAATCACCAAGTAAAAAGAAATGGAGTTGACAGCTGTTCAACCAAGTTATCCAATTCATCTTCATTGACTATGGCATCTGGTGGCAAGTATATAGAACAAACTGTGACAGTTACTCTAATAGAAATTCTGACTGCCACAGCTTGCAAATCAGTGGTTATTTGTACCGGTAAGGATGGAATGCAATTTCAGACTAGTATAGCCACACCTCCACTGGCGTAGTTGTGGCTATCATCATTATTATGGTAAAGATCGAACCCTTTTAAACAAATTCTTTCTCCAGGTATTAGATGTGTTTATTGGAGTGTCACGCAGACAGGTGGCATAGATGATGTCAAGTGTTTAATGTCAGAGAAGTTGTTGCAGAAACTATGACAGTTCCATTGAATTATTTTATAATCCATTATGTGTTTGAGGCAGCATTCTTTGTCAAGATATCTCTCTTCAATTTAATAGACAATTTTCCTTTTGGAAGTGAGGTTGGTTGTGTCACCTCCATATTATTCTCTTCTTCAGAGATATCAGAGAACTCACTCATAGAGTTAGCCTCTGATTTTTTAGATTTAGAGAGAGCTGCTTTCACTCTGTTTGTTTAGTGGATTCTTAATAGCCTTTTTAGAACCCAGGTTTCTCATTATTACCTGTTTTAGGTAGGGGTGTTTTTGGTTTTATACTCTCCTTTTCTGGTGTTTCTTTTGATGGAATCAGTAAACATTTCACATGGCAAGTGAGAGATTCCTTTGGGGAAACTGAAATCCACAAAGACATGTGGAGTTGAAGCAGCAGCAAATTTCTTTTGTTTCAATGGTGCAACGTGCCTCTAGGTAAGATAAGTTGTTGACTGTTTTTACATGCTGGATTTCTTTTTCTCTCTGCCAAGCAGGGCATTTCCTGGAGTAGGCGGGATGGGCATCTTTGCAATTCACACAGCACAGAGTAGTGGTATACTCAGTACTCTGGTGACCTTCAATTCCACACTGTGCGCATACATTCTTCCCTTGACAGGATGCTTATGAATGTCCAAACTGCTGGCATTTGAAACAATGTAGCGGATGTGGAAAGTGTGGATGAACTGGACAGCACAGGTATCCTGCAGTAATGAAAGATGGCAATGTCGGCTTGTTGAATGTGAGGATAAGATGTTTAGTAGGTATCAACTTGCTGTCTCGACAAATGGAAATACATTGAACAGCAGTCACACCTTGGTCTGAAAAGGCCTATCTGAGGTTGATCTGATGTCTGAAGAAGAGTTAGATATTCAGATCTAACTCTTCTTCATTAGTTAAAAATGAAATTGAGACTTAGATCATTAATAAAAGATATGTCACTGGTGGTTCTTGCTCACAGTACAAATGAAATGAGAACTTCTCAGGTGACATGCAAAAACCATACCTAATCTGTAGAATCTATCAAAGGGAGAGTACTTAAATGTGACAATCCTCAATGATACAAGAAACAATGCTAATGATCTGGGGTTTTTTTTTACTGAAAATTTATACTATTAAAATCGAAAATATCTAGATTTATTTTGTAATTGAGGCATCTAGTGGAAAATGGCATACTAAGCAAAACTACAAAAAAAAAAAGGAATTAACAAATTTGAATTTGTATGTCATCAATATCTCCTTCATGGTTGTATGGCACATTGCCATTAATAAAACTGGCAAATTGAAAGATTTCCTCCCAAATGATCCGATTTTCCACCAAACCCCTCAATTTTAATGTTCCATTGCATGTTTAAATTAATAACAAACATTTTATAATTATTTGCTTTTTGCATTACTAATATTAATTAAATAATGAAATTTTGCATACCAATTTTACTGCACTTGGTCTGTTTTTCTGTTTTTCTTCCGCTTCAATTTCCTCTCTCTTCTTCTGGGCAAACTCGTAATTTTTTTCTTCTCCCATCAATTTTTTATCGTCATACGGTGGAAACGACTACAAAAAATTATATCTTTTGTAGAAACATTTAGAAACAAAGTAATTTTACATTATCAGTCTCAAAATCTGGATACACGTATTCTTTGAATGTACCGGCCAAAACAGAAATAATGAATCATTAAAAATTCTACTTATTTCCAATATGAAATAATTGTACACTAGTTGTTTTAATCTGTAGTACAATTTATGTAATAACTTCTCAACTTCAATTATCAAATTCACAACTTGGAATAAAAACAACAGTTATATGCAGCCAAACCTGAATATAACACCACTGAAGACTTACTGAAGGATACATTATAATGTTTTTTATTACAAGTAAATGGTCAGTAAAATTTAATTGTAGCCACTGAGTGGCTCACATTCAAATAAATGCATTCCATTGCATCAACTAAAATTGCTATTGTGCTATAGGTGTTATGTGCAAAACAAATTGCCAAATTGACAATGCTGGAAAATCACATGATAAAGTTTTTTTAATAATAATAAACAACGCTTTTAGCCCACGACTTTCATTTAGATAGGCTATCTAACTCTAATAAATAGGATTTAACAATTTGGAGGGCTTATCACACCAAGGCCAACAGAAAAAAAAGACCAGATCTTTTACAAAGAAGTTAGTCTTTAATAATCACCTTCAAATTTATGTATGGATGCATTTCGGGTACAAAGACCCCTCATCAGCTTACAAACACAGTGTTATAATTATATGTTGGTACTAATAGTTAACCAATACAAAGGAATTTTTGATATATAGAGTGCACTGTATTTACAATTTTTAATACAACCCATATACTAAAGAACAAACTATCGAGCATAAAATTTATTTATATAATATATCACATTATTTGGGACCAGTAAATGTCTTATTTTCTCTACATTTTCCAAAATCTGGTAGATGGTTCCACTATTAATAATAAAATATTGTTAAGCATGTTAGTTCCCCTCCCTTTTGGTTTTAATAATGAACTTACTATTATTAAAATAATTGGTTTCCAGTCCTTAAACAAAACAAAACAAATACACCAAGTCCATAAGACTGTGTGAAAAGCCTTGTTACAATTCATTTTACAATGTGATGTGACTTTACTCCCACATCTGTTCAGCATCTGTTTCAAGGTTATGTAAAAACGATGTCATTCCACCCCTCGTGTAACTTCAGTCCCACGTTATTAATTCTAATGTATTCCTGTATTTTCAGAATTTCTGTGTATTGCTGTAGTCTTCTTTTAAATTGATAGTGTCAAGAGTATTCTGACAGAAAACAAACTTTTAAAATTTCACAACCTTCGGTATTGCAATGTTGTGCCACTGATGATGATGGCATATATATATATGCCATCAAAAAAAATTTGATATGTTCTTTTATTCTTGTCTTTAATTTTCTTCCAGTTTCACCAATGTATCTTCTTTTTTATGTGAACAACTGCAATCTAATGAATAAACTACATTATCTTTTTCTAAATCATTATGTTCATTATTTTTATATTTACTATGGTTCTTGTATGGTTTGGTACTAAAATAATATCTAAATTTTTTAATTCATTTTTTAATTTTTCAAAAGCATATTCCATTTTAAGATTCATTAAATAAACAACTGGGAGTTGTTAAGACTTTGTGACATTTTCTCTTTTCCTTTTACTTGTTTCTAACCACTTAAATAATTACCCTAGAACATTATTTTTAAAGCTAAACATTCTTATTATATTTTCAATTTCTTGATCATTTTGCAAGGTCATTCTCTCTAATTTTGTTGATATACATCTGAATAGTGTTCTTTTTTATATATAAAGGTATAGATCTGGTTTTTTCTGTCAGCCTTGGTGTGATAAACACTCCAAATTCTTAAATCTATTTATTAGGCTATCTAACTCATCTAAAAAAGGTTTTTTTTAGTTTAAATCCATAGTGCCAATTCCAGCCCGCAGCACACATTAATACAGTCTGCCAACATTTGACACATTGCTTATAAATGATAGAAAAAAGTACACATGCAAGCCACAAATATTATGGAATTAATGTGGCATCTACCAAGGAAAATAACTTTCTGTGGGAAACCAACACCTCTTTAGGTGTCAGTTCCCATAGAAAATGTGTGAAACATCACAAAAACTATCTATTAAACGGGAACAAACCTGCAACCGACTACCAATGTTTGCTGGGTGTTGCCTACAACTTATATGATATGCCAAATTTTGAGTGGAAAGATTTGAGCATCACCAGTATAAATATTCACATGTATTTATAGTTTTTATATATTAAAGTGTATACAAATAGACATAATAACTTTTTGAAGCCAAATATTTGTATTTTTACTGAATTTACCAGTAAAAAAGATACAAATATAGCTAATGATGTATGTTTTGATAATTTAACTTTCATTTACGGATTGCATTACTAGTAAGTTTGAGTCAGGTGAAAGGTTTGTAAATCAGGGTTACACTATATTGTCATTGAAAAACTCTCAAACAACGGCAGGAGGACACTAACTTCAACCATAAAAAAATAATGGGTATCTTAATCCATGTTTCTCAAAAATGGAACGACCCAGTTTCTCAAAATCTATTTGCCAATCAGCCAATTCTAAATTTAATAAAATTAAATTATTCCACTAATACTAATTTAAAACAAGTTAACTTTACACAACTCCAAGCTACTGGAAAATATAATAGTGGTGGGCATATGCTTAATAGCTCTTTCGAGAGCTGGCCATCCCTTCCATGGTCCTTTTGAACATTTTATTTTATTATTTATAAAACTAGATTGTTTCATGTTTTTCAATGTGACCTATGTTTATCAATGTAGTTAGCCTGGGTGAGCAGTTTGAGCAGTAATATATCACAAATGAAAAATTATAAGTGATTTATTGTTCATAAAACAAAAAATTTGATGAAAACTACAGATAAAGTAAACCAAAGTGAAAAATAAGATAAAATAATTTTGTATTTATTTCTTAAGTGGGAAAAGTCCTGGATAAATTGGAGTCGCTCATTAAAAGCAGCCACATTTGAGATTCCCAGTCTTGAATGAGGAAACTGTGTCTGAAACATAACATCGGTAAGTTGCTTAACATGGCTAAAAAAAAACATATATTTGAAACAGCTACATAAAAGTTGAAAATTTCCGGTGGGATGAGAGGAAAGGTTGAGTTACAAACTCCGTAACATAACTGTAACCATATAGTATAGTTATGAAGTCCTTATGGCCATACTGTATTCAGTAAGAAAAGTTTGGATTGATCAAATTTACGGTACGGTATGATAGGGACACAGAGAATTGACAAACTGTGTATGTGTTAGGATCAAAGACTGAAATTGCTCAATGAGCAAAAAAAACGACCACAATGCATTGTGGCTAATTCAAAATGACCACAAAGTGAAACTTGTGTCATGACTTTCATGATATTTGATCATGACACGTTCTGGTTAGGTTAGGTTACTCGGACAGGTTGAAATTGGTTCAAATGTTTTAGTTAGGGTGCCTGGTGTTGATTGGGGATATGCAGCTCCCAGAAATGTTTTAGTTGTTGTTACAAGCATTAATCTATCAAGCCTCTATCAGTTAACAAGGGTCTTCTTCATCAATTTTATGCTCGTAAGGAATTTACAATTTCTGAGAGTTAACTTTATTAACATTCAGGATGTCCCCTCACCATCCACGTTAACATCTGGAAGTAAGCAAAGGTTTATAATGTCATGGTAAAAGATACTGCATTGATAAAAAATGCAAATGTTTAAAGAACATAAAATGTAACTTGAAATGTCATGGTAATAGTTCTTGTAAACATAAATAACTCTGAAAAAATTCTTGATTCTCGTAAGAAAGACTGATTTATTAATAAGTTCCTGACAAAGTAATTATTATTAGTAAATTAGTTGTTAGAAAACGTTGACATATTGAGCACCGCAACAGATTTTCACAAATGATTACAGTTGAAAAATAACCAAGTAACCTAACCTATCCTACTTAACCAGAACACATTGTGGTCGTTTTTACAAATGCCGCAACACAAATTTCGCTTTGTGGTCATTTTTTTCACTCGCGATTTCGGTCTTTGAGCCTAACACATGCACTAAGTCACCATCAGTTAATCAGCAGGTGTGTTGGAAGCAACCAACAAAACTGACAAATAGACAACATGGACACTCGTCAAGAATGTGATGCTATGATTGCATTGTTGGCAATCAATGTAGGCACTTTTATTATTAATAAAAAGCAGAAAGGTCAACAACAACATTGATGGCAAGTACGCGCCATCAACGTAAAATAGGTCACCTTGCCAATTCACTATATTTCTTTATTTATATTCTCCAGTGTTCTCCATTTTACTAATTGTAGTGGTTGATGCAAGTGTGTTACTTTTTGTTCAATCTGGCAACAAATTGATTGAAAACATAACTTTTGACTTATAATACTACTACTGAACAATATAAAATTTTAAGGTAAGAATTACTTTGGTCATAAAAAAAATAGAATAATAATAAAATGAATAAATAATTATAGTGTTAGATCTGGCAACATCAGCCTACGATTTTGCACATGCTCATGATGGACTGCTTCGTAAGCTGTAAAAAAAAGTTTGTTCCTTAATGGATACAGAAACAGCCTTACAGTATTTTATAACTATTGCTATAGATATCTGGTGTAGCAAACATCTACGAATATGAATAGGGTTACATTACAGTTTATAACTTGACCCTAACTGCTGAAATGTTGACAAAAGGAAATGACAATTCGTTTAAATCAGTACCGGCCGGGTGTGCAGTTACAGCAGAGGCAATTGAAAAGCTAGGTAGCGTGGTACCAGCTAGTGGGGATGAGGGATATAAATCTGGTTCCTTTTTCTTTGAATTCAGATAACTTTTCCATAGTTTAACTGATATTCACCAAACTCTGCAAAAATATAAAGCAACTGTGTGGCTTTATATTCCAAAAAACAGCACCCAAAAATGTCAAAATAATTTTTTGTTATTAAGCATCAAAGAGGCAAGGCAAAAGTCAACACTCATTTTTTGAATATATCTTTTCTCTGAGTCAACTATATATTCCAAGAAGTAATTTATGCACATGCCAGGATTCCACTGAGCATTTTGTGACATCAAAATCTAACGTGAGAATTTTTTTCAAAAGACACAAAAGTGAAAAAGCTATTGCAGAAGCCTGGGCTTCACTCAGGCAATAAAAAGAACTAATATGAATATGATGTAAGATGTACTTAGTAATTTCATAACTATTGGTTCTCTTATTTTTTCAATTAGTGAAATTACATAAGTTAACTCATCAATGAGTAAATTTTTACGTATCTTTTTATAAGCTGCACCACCTCTAACAAACAAAACAGAAATTTCATTGGTTTCATAATCAGAATATTTTGTTTTCATAAACATTGCTTAGTATTTGTTGTGTTGAATATTTAGTTTCGTGAATATAAGGAGAGAAAAATAAAGTAATTCAGTTTACTGTATGTATATATATATATATCAAATACTTGAATTTTTTAAATTATACAATGTGAGCTCAATTTACAAAGTATTTTTGTTTATTACTATAGATAAAGTAATCTTACCTCTAAAGCAGGTAATCGTCGAAGAAGAAACCTCCCTCTGTCAGTCTTTTCGTATTCATTAAACATATCTTCAAATCGCTTCTTATAAACTAAAGTTAAACCATGCTGTTTTGCTAAACTAAATAAAGTTCATTTCTTAACAATGCATATTAATTATTAAAATAATGTAATTACTATTTACAGTACAGTCCAGTCTTCTTTTATGCAGAGGTTGTTTATAAGCAGATAGCACATAAAACAAAATTCCACAAAAATTAGTGCTCCATCTTGTGTAGTTCCAGAGGATTGCTTATGCAATGATTTACAATTAACAGAAAAGCATTAAAATGTATTTGATGCTACTCTTCTATTGTTGTTTTGGCATTATGTAGTATCTAAAGTATTAGTTTCAGTTTAACTGTTGCAAAATTATATATTGTATGGTACATGCCCTTTTTCTGCATTAGAACCATTATTTTTTCTTTCGTCATGATAACCTACTACCTTTGAGAAAAAATTGATGAAAATTGCTTCTAATTTTTATAACATTAGCTTATTATAAAGCAAAAAGAAAGTACTCCTGTGCATCCAAGAATTACAGAAGCCTAACCTTCTGCCATTTGTAAAAACAATACCATTTGTGTCAATCTCATGTAAAAGAAGACCATACTGTGCATTTATAATAATAATAATAATAAATATACATACTATTCAAAAAGTGGAAAATAAACTAAAAATTCAGGGCAATCGACAACACCTTCCAAATAGAACGTGTAACGAGCTCCAAACAATGGAAATTTGTCTTTGGATTCAAACTTAATGGAGAATATGTCGCTTCCAAACTGTAGGTCTTCTGAATTTTGAATCCGCCTCCTAAAAACATTAAATTAAAAATAGTTAGATGTAATTTCTATAATAATAGATACTTTATAAATATTTTATGTATCATCAGTTGGTGACCAAAACCTTGTAACTATTTCCTAGGATTTTATGGAAAAGCTAGAAAAACGTGGTTTTGGTGGAGCAAGATTTTGACAATGTTGAAGAGAGAGGGTCAAAAGGTGTGCATCACTTATGAGGTTTTCATAGTATGTACACAGAAATTGACTTTACACGCTTATTAATGCAAAAATGTGTTTTCAACCAATTATTGAAGATACGAGGTCTAGATCCGTAATGGCAAACCTGTGACACGCATCAACAGAGACGAAAAATTGAATAATTCAAATATTTGTCATATTATTTTCTCTTTTTCAACTATAAACCTAAAACTTTTTTCTTGATTATTATTTAAATGAATATGAGCTAAAATATCTTAGAATCAGATAAAATTTTATAATCATTGGATGCAGATGTATTTTTGCCATGTCGCCTCCCTTCTATTAATTTTAGCAGGTAAGATTGGTGCACTACCACCATCTGTCCATGCTAGATATACAGTGCAACAGTATATCTAGATTTTATGGCAATATACTTAAGACTAATTTGAACATCTCACATTAAATAATTTAAATTATTAAATTTAATGTAATCAAAATTTCTTTCTAAGTTTCTGGAAGAAAAGAATGATCCTGGATGAGATTGAAATCTGCATCTTTTGTATACCACACAAACCTGACCTCTTTCCACTCTATTACCATACCTGTATTAATTAATGCCAAATAACTAGACAATACAAATATATAATCAATTAATCTATCATTATGTATTTCTTCAATTTTCCGTGCAGTTAATATATGGTCTGTGTCAAATTTTCTTATCGCAGCATTATTTAGGAATATTCTTACCATTATTAATATCACATTATATTTTTTGTGCTAAAATAAATCATATAAAAACCAATTTTCGTCAAATACGTACACAATGTCGTAAGCGTCGGGAGTGGTCCCGATAAAGTAACCGCCGGGCCTTAAACATTCGCTAATATTCTGAATCATTCTTTCTGCTTGACTTTCACTTTCAAAACAGTAGTGGAATGTAAACTGACAACTGACGAGATCAAATAGGATGTTGGGATCTTGGTAATGATCTTTCAGTCTAATCTAAAAATATAAAATTAAAGAAACATACATTATTTTGTAATCTAACTTTAAATTCTATTAATTTTTTTATTTTGGATTAATAATATAAAATAATAATTTTAGAAGAACAGAAAAAAGTACAGTACTTTTTAAAAGACACATCAATTTTTTCCCCAACTAAAGATGGCTTTACACATTTGGTATTTGCCAACTGCACATCCTTTCACAAAAGGATGTGCAAAAATGTTTTTTTCCATCTGGCAAGCACATACATCATGATTATTTTCCAGGCTTCACTTCATTGTGGGAATTACAAATGTTTATCCAAGATTCGTCCCCTTTGATTAAGCATATACCAACAAGGAATAGGAAATTGTTAATGGCAGATATCTGTCAAGCAATGATGTGATGATTGAGTAAATCATCCAGAGTACTTGGTATTGCCCAAATGTTCATTCGGCATTCAGTGAATACCAAATGTGTGGAACCATCTTCATAAGAATTCTACCTTTATGTGTATTACCAAATGTAACTTAAATAGTCAGAGAACTGTAATATAATTTTAAAGTTTCAAAATTTAAAGCAGGTAGTCTTCAGTTAATGTAGTAGACAGTTTCTTTGAAAGTAGCATGTCATGCAGACTTTCCATATAATGACTATAATAATAATGTCCTTTTGAACCATGTTATGCAAAAAACTGGTTTACAATAAAAAATTGTTTATAGCTAGTGAATCACATTAAAATGAAATGACTGCAGACTGACCACCTGTATTTTCAAAATTAAACTTACACCAGTTTCAGTTGATGCATTTGAAACATAATAGCAATTTAAATAAAATATTTAGTAATAAAAATTTGAGAAATCATTATTCATAATTAGATCATTTCTAAACTTTCATAATTTGTGTATAATCAATATAAAATCAGCTTGCTTAATTTATATAAAAAAACTATTTTGTTTTATTGTAAAACTGTTTCTATTCCGCATAAAATATGAATTTTGATTATACGTTATTTTATTAAAAAATCTTAAGGTATATGCATGCAAGCAGAAAAATTAAGACGACAATCAGCATCAATGATTGGTTCCGCCAACATTCTTAACTTTGAAAAACATTAGATACAATCAGCCAAGACTGTGTTAACATGTTAACACTCATTATCGTAATAATTTTGCCTCTCACATGCAGCAAAATTAGAAAATACAATTGTGTAAAAAATAATTTTAACGAACCGTACTCACTTTAGTGCAATCTGCAGGAATGAATTCCACGGTGAAAGGTTCGGGATCACCAAATCGTTTACTGCTTCTTTTTATGTCTCGATACCTCTGCTGGCAGTGCTGTAACGACGTTTCTGCTATATCTGGGATTGCAGACAGGAAGAGATGTCACAAACACTTGGCCCATATATTACACCTGTAGGTGTACAATTATTGAACTGTCACGTAATTTCTATTGGGCATTTAGAGTAATTTTTACAGGGCGTTCCCTAACTGGTAATCTCTTTTGTCTCATTTTTTAATTACAATAAAATTAAGTAATTAACGATTAGCTTTCAATTCAAATTTTGCTTCATTTTAGAAAATAAAATCCCAATGTTATAATTAAAATGCTTATTTTTGGATAAAACTTCATATACCACTGACAGATCATTTCTATATCATAATAAGTAAAAAATTAATATAGTTTAAATACATAAAAAAAACATTGATTTTGCTAGCTTTTCTGAAAATTAACTAAAGAATTATTAGCATATTTTCACAAATAAAGTTTTCTTAAAATGAGGAACATAAAAGATTTTAATGGAGCAATAAAAATAATTCTTTAATGATACATGTAAGTATTCAAACTCCACACTAAATTGCCAGATCTAAACTTTCTTACTCAGACCAACAAGGTGAATAATTAATCAGATAAAAGTTACAAAATTTGAAAATAGTGATTATCAGCTTGATTAATGTAGGAGAAAAATGAACAACCAAAATGGAAAGTGACTGGAAACTTCTTAAATACAGCCCCAAGTAATTTCCACCTGTTTGGACTGTTAAGAAATTACCTTAAAAGCATATGTTTTGCAAATGATAAAAAGGTTGAATGCAATGGGTGTACATGGCCAAGACAGCAGATCAAAGACTTTTATGCAATGAGGAGATATGTGCATTTATAATGGTGAGGATTACATTGAAAAACAATAATTTGTAAATGTGATGATAAACATTTTTTCAAGTTTGCAATTTAAATGTAATCTAAATATATAAAACTAGCACACCCTGCCATGAATTGTTGTGGCTCAAAATGTACTTATTATAAATTTATAACACTTCCCTGTGGGGGGGGGGGAATTTTTCGAATAATTTCTTCTTAGTGTACATTCTGTTGACGTACCTTAAAACGCAAAAAACCGCATCTAAAATAGTATAAATAGAAGCAGAGTTCTTTACGTTAAGCCTTAATCCTAACCATCTCCCTTCAGTGGGGGGAATTTTGACATGTATATTATATAAAAACATGTGCGTATTCGAATGCAGCGTTGTGTCAAAATTTCAAAGGAATCGGTAGGAACAAACAAACATTATATTTTTATTTATATAGATAGATAGATGATGATCTGCTTTAGTTCGTTTTCACAGAAAAGCATAATGCCTTGCAGAAAAGCAAACTTAGGGCGTCATACTCGTAGCGCCATCTGTTGGACATAAAAGCCTTAACCTAGATTATATATTTTAATTTATATGAATGTTTAACAGCCTATGTCCACCCTGAGGTTCCATTTTAAATATTGGTGAAAGAATTTTTGAAATCGGATGAGTAGTTTCGGAGATTACCTGCTGCAAACAAACTTACATACATACATATAAACATAGAAGTATAGATTACTTGTCCTGACTGACTGACTGAATGATTGATTCATCATTGCCCAGAGCAAACCGCTGAACCTAAAGAGGTAAAAGTTTGTACACAGTTAGGATACGTCATGAAAATGCACACTAAGAAGGGATTTTTGGAAATTCCCCCGCAGGGGAGAGGGAGAGGATTAAGGCTTAACCTGAAGAACAACTTCTACTGTAATATTTTAGATGCAATTTTTTCTTTTCAACTATGTTTAATCTTCATTGAGTACTTAGGTGTATTAAATTGATAACATTTCAGACATTGTTATAATTTTTTTATACACAGGTAGCCCTCGGTTTACGCCGCAGTTCCGTTCCTACAAAAGCCGGCGCAAATCGAATTGGTGTAAAACGAACCCGTATTTACAGTAAGGTATAGGGTTAGGTTCTACATAAGTGAAAAATAAGCTAATAATTTTGTTTATTAATGCAATATAATACAAAATACAATCAGCGTAAAATGAACCCATATTTACAGTGAGNGAGAGCTGCTTTCACTCTGTTTGTTTAGTGGATTCTTAATAGCCTTTTTAGAACCCAGGTTTCTCATTATTACCTGTTTTAGGTAGGGGTGTTTTTGGTTTTATACTCTCCTTTTCTGGTGTTTCTTTTGATGGAATCAGTAAACATTTCACATGGCAAGTGAGAGATTCCTTTGGGGAAACTGAAATCCACAAAGACATGTGGAGTTGAAGCAGCAGCAAATTTCTTTTGTTTCAATGGTGCAACGTGCCTCTAGGTAAGATAAGTTGTTGACTGTTTTTACATGCTGGATTTCTTTTTCTCTCTGCCAAGCAGGGCATTTCCTGGAGTAGGCGGGATGGGCATCTTTGCAATTCACACAGCACAGAGTAGTGGTATACTCAGTACTCTGGTGACCTTCAATTCCACACTGTGCGCATACATTCTTCCCTTGACAGGATGCTTATGAATGTCCAAACTGCTGGCATTTGAAACAATGTAGCGGATGTGGAAAGTGTGGATGAACTGGACAGCACAGGTATCCTGCAGTAATGAAAGATGGCAATGTCGGCTTGTTGAATGTGAGGATAAGATGTTTAGTAGGTATCAACTTGCTGTCTCGACAAATGGAAATACATTGAACAGCAGTCACACCTTGGTCTGAAAAGGCCTATCTGAGGTTGATCTGATGTCTGAAGAAGAGTTAGATATTCAGATCTAACTCTTCTTCATTAGTTAAAAATGAAATTGAGACTTAGATCATTAATAAAAGATATGTCACTGGTGGTTCTTGCTCACAGTACAAATGAAATGAGAACTTCTCAGGTGACATGCAAAAACCATACCTAATCTGTAGAATCTATCAAAGGGAGAGTACTTAAATGTGACAATCCTCAATGATACAAGAAACAATGCTAATGATCTGGGGTTTTTTTTGACTGAAAATTTATACTATTAAAATCGAAAATATCTAGATTTATTTTGTAATTGAGGCATCTAGTGGAAAATGGCATACTAAGCAAAACTACAAAAAAAAAAAGGAATTAACAAATTTGAATTTGTATGTCATCAATATCTCCTTCATGGTTGTATGGCACATTGCCATTAATAAAACTGGCAAATTGAAAGATTTCCTCCCAAATGATCCGATTTTCCACCAAACCCCTCAATTTTAATGTTCCATTGCATGTTTAAATTAATAACAAACATTTTATAATTATTTGCTTTTTGCATTACTAATATTAATTAAATAATGAAATTTTGCATACCAATTTTACTGCACTTGGTCTGTTTTTCTGTTTTTCTTCCGCTTCAATTTCCTCTCTCTTCTTCTGGGCAAACTCGTAATTTTTTTCTTCTCCCATCAATTTTTTATCGTCATACGGTGGAAACGACTACAAAAAATTATATCTTTTGTAGAAACATTTAGAAACAAAGTAATTTTACATTATCAGTCTCAAAATCTGGATACACGTATTCTTTGAATGTACCGGCCAAAACAGAAATAATGAATCATTAAAAATTCTACTTATTTCCAATATGAAATAATTGTACACTAGTTGTTTTAATCTGTAGTACAATTTATGTAATAACTTCTCAACTTCAATTATCAAATTCACAACTTGGAATAAAAACAACAGTTATATGCAGCCAAACCTGAATATAACACCACTGAAGACTTACCGAAGGATACATTATAATGTTTTTTATTACAAGTAAATGGTCAGTAAAATTTAATTGTAGCCACTGAGTGCCTCACATTCAAATAAATGCATTCCATGCATCAACTAAAATTGCTATTGTGCTATAGGTGTTATGTGCAAAACAAATTGCCAAATTGACAATGCTGGAAAATCACATGATAAAGTTTTTTTAATAATAATAAACAACGCTTTTAGCCCACGACTTTCATTTAGATAGGCTATCTAACTCTAATAAATAGGATTTAACAATTTGGAGGGCTTATCACACCAAGGCCAACAGAAAAAAAAGACCAGATCTTTTACAAAGAAGTTAGTCTTTAATAATCACCTTCAAATTTATGTATGGATGCATTTCGGGTACAAAGACCCCTCATCAGCTTACAAACACAGTGTTATAATTATATGTTGGTACTAATAGTTAACCAATACAAAGGAATTTTTGATATATAGAGTGCACTGTATTTACAATTTTTAATACAACCCATATACTAAAGAACAAACTATCGAGCATAAAATTTATTTATATAATATATCACATTATTTGGGACCAGTAAATGTCTTATTTTCTCTACATTTTCCAAAATCTGGTAGATGGTTCCACTATTAATAATAAAATATTGTTAAGCATGTTAGTTCCCCTCCCTTTTGGTTTTAATAATGAACTTACTATTATTAAAATAATTGGTTTCCAGTCCTTAAACAAAACAAAACAAATACACCAAGTCCATAAGACTGTGTGAAAAGCCTTGTTACAATTCATTTTACAATGTGATGTGACTTTACTCCCACATCTGTTCAGCATCTGTTTCAAGGTTATGTAAAAACGATGTCATTCCACCCCTCGTGTAACTTCAGTCCCACGTTATTAATTCTAATGTATTCCTGTATTTTCAGAATTTCTGTGTATTGCTGTAGTCTTCTTTTAAATTGATAGTGTCAAGAGTATTCTGACAGAAAACAAACTTTTAAAATTTCACAACCTTCGGTATTGCAATGTTGTGCCACTGATGATGATGGCATATATATATATGCCATCAAAAAAAATTTGATATGTTCTTTTATTCTTGTCTTTAATTTTCTTCCAGNTCGAACGCCATTTATTGGACTATTAAGTTTAATATCTTGACTCATGGGTACCTAAACGTTTAGTATTTTAATATTAATTTAATGCAAATGTGTACATACCCAATAATATTAAACAGAAAAAATAAATATATTTAATAAAAATCTTTGTTTTAACGAATGTACAATGTCACGGCTCAGTAAATACGTCAACACTGAAATGAAAATCAGTCTAGCATAAGGAAAATCGGGGAATTACACCTCAAAACGGCAAATTGCGCAGCGGCGTTATTGTGAATTGGCGTAAACTGAGGGCTACCTGTATTTTGATTTTTTAATCAAATGTTCAAACTGTTTTAAATTTTAATTTGTTATTGCATATTGGTTCAATTATAGAACGATTGTAAACATTCCAGAAAATTGATCAAATTGAAAACAGTTCGTTTGATTCTTGGAAATTCTCATCATCTCAACAGTAGATGTTATATAACTATTACTATGGTTGTTGAAATACTGAATATAAATGGAGTTTGCTTGCAAAATCCACACGGGTGAAGTTGCAGGTAACAGCTAGTATCTTTATAAATTCTGCTATAAACTAATTTTTCTGTAATAATGCAAACTGGAATTACTTGTGATAAAAATAAATGAAAATCTTTAATATAATCTGGCATTAAAATGTTTAACAGAACAAATGTTTTTAAGTTATTTCATAACTCTTCCTCACATGCAGGCACTCATTTTATATATTAGTGCAAACACTCTAAAGCAGTCTTTCTCAAAGTTTTGACATCCATGTATCCCTTCTTAAATTTTCACAAGTCCCCTTGTTAAAAAATCTTATGTAAACAGAAAATTTATAAAATTCCATGCATCAGTGGTACTTAGCCAAAAGTTGCCACATACCTCCTGAGAATCTTTCACATACCCTCAAGGATTTATGTACAGTACAACACTTTCAAAAACACTGATGTAGAGAAATTTGCAATTATCTTTTTCAAATGTAAAGCATGACAAAAGTAATTTTTAATTTTTTTTTTACAAATCATCCATTATGCTATATAAAAATTTGTGACAAACTTTTAAATTCCAATTGTAAATCATAAAATTAATTTACAAATTACAATTGTGATGTAAAAAATAAAAAATTGAAATAAATTTACTCTTGATAAGTTTCATTAAAAAAGCATATGTAACAAATCACATCACATCAATTTTATTGTATTAATTAAATTACACTTATTATCAATGAAAATTCAAGACCTACTTTATAGATCTTTAAATTAATTACCTGTCCATCATAATTAAATACATTAAAACCAATGTGATGTAACTAACAATTTACACCTGTATCATTACTTGTTTTGCTAGATAGCATTATTCCTATTTCAAAAGCTGGCTATTGTTTTTAAACTTTCTGAAATTTTCAATAAACGTAGTATACAATTTAATGTAAAGTTTATTTTAAATATTACAAATGAGCAAAGCCAAAAGGAAAAAAGTAATTTTTGTATAAAATAAACATCTCATATCTGTCTAATGTTGTTCGATAAGTCTAAATACATCTTACCAGTTGGCTGTACTCATTCTGGTTGACAATTAATTAAGATGCAATTGCAATAACCAATTTTCTAACTGCACCATTAATGAGTATTCTATGACCATTTTTTCTGGTCAGAAACAGTCAAATATTCTCACATTTAAAAAAAAATAATAATAATAATATTAACATAATATACAGCAAAATCTACCAAATAAAAATTTATGAATGAATGGACAGTTTCAGAAATGATAAAACAAATATGGTCAGTTAACAATTTATACAGCAATAAACATTATTGATCAAAACCCTATGCTATTAAAAAACTAGCAGATTGCATTTTCATTACTGTTAGGAGATTAAACATCTGCATTTCCTTGAATGTCAAAGAAATGGGACATAAGTTGATTTATCAAATAATCAAAACTGTGTTATAAATATCATTAGATAACATACAAATGTTTGAAGCAGCAGACATTGAGAAATAATATAAAATGCGTTATTTAATCAAAAGAAACTGAAATTATCTTTACTTTTCAATTTACCTTCACATAAGCATTTTTTTAACATGTGGTAATATTTATTTGACATACATATGCTTGTTTAATTACTGTAACAAGAAAAAAAGATAACTAAAACTTTGACATCTCACCTGCACAGACTAAATGATTTATTCTTCCTTTTTTCCATTTAAGAAGATCTCCTCCTTTACCAGCTCCTATATCTAGTACAGATATTTTTCCATCATGTCTATTTGTTTCTTGAACTTTTTGAAGATATTCACCTAATTGGAAAAGAATCATCATTTATATCAACAATATATACAGAGAATTTAATACAGTAGAGCGTCGTTTATCCGAAATACTGAAAATTGAAATTTGATATGTTTATTTGTTGCCTTTTTGTCATATTATAAAAAATATTTTAAATATAATAATATAAATGTAAAAGTATTTTATACAATAGAAACATCAGGAATGAAATCTTTACTTCTTGTATGGAATAATAAGTTTTTTCAGTTTTTAAGCAATTTCCAATAAATAGCCAAACACTATTAAAATTATTCAGTGATAATACTATGTGCAAGATAATGTTTAAAAACAAAATTTTTCTGTAAAGTGTTTTTTACGATATTTCTCTGCTTACATATTTAACAGATTTATATTCTAAAATTTAACATTTTTATATTAGACATATTTTTGTAAAGTTAATCAGATAAGCATTACTGCAGTTTTTCTTTAAAAAATGCTTCATAAGAAAGAAAGAAATAACCTTAAAAATATTGTAAAAAGTAAATTTTCTATACCAAAAAATATTTTTACTTATAAAAGGAGAAAATGTATTTTTAATATATCATACTAATGATACTAGTGTATAAATTAAATTTAGTAATTAATTCATGCTTCTTATAACTTAGTTACTATAATCATTTATAATAATTATATTATAAATAAATAAATATTTTAACTATGAATTTTATTTAACATGCTATTTTAATCATAAGCTGAATATTTACCTATGAGCATACTCTTAATCCAATTATTAAAATTACGTAAATAATATATGCGACAAGTAGTTCTTGCATCTTTTCCAGATTCTTCTAATTCGTTATAATGTTTAGCAACAATGGACGACAAGTTTCCCTATAAAAAAATAATTTTTTAAAGAAAACTAATTACAAATTTTAACAATCTTAAGAAAAAATATCAAAAATTTCTTTTTAAGTAACAGAATGACTGTGTAACAATTATTTTTTTTATACTGCATATACAAAACATTGAACAACCAAATATTAGGTTCTTATCTTTAAGATTTCTAGTTTATTTGTGATTAATTCTCCGTTATATCTATAAAAAAATTTTGCTTTTAAATGAAAACTTTTTAATTTTATACATCATGGTAAACTATCAATATGGTTATAATTATGGACAATTAACGGTTTATGTGAGTGACATAATTAAAATATTAAGTCTATTATACAATAACATTAATATATTATTGTTATTTGATTGTCCCTTACTTTGCTGATACTAGTGCCTAGGACTAAGCCATATTAATATCAAGTCATAGCTACAGATAATGATGTTATTTTCTTTATATATGATCTGTATTTAAGAATTTCCTGACTATGTGACATGTATTTAGTAAGACTGCTTTCTGTAATGTAATATGCTGCCATTAAAGCATAATGTTTCTAGAATTTTGTGTAGTGTACATATGAGACAATACCTGTGCAAGAAAGAACTCTAGCAAAGTAAGTATTTTATCTATTCTCCAGAGTTGGATAGCATTACAAAATGATATACAGTACTAAAAAAGTGTTTACTAGTATTTTTGCAAAATGCTGAAATGGCATTTTCAAATAGAATGGATAGCATTATAATTTTGTAACTGTTCATTCTAATAAAATATGCTCAAATATATTTCCATTTCTCTCATCATATAATAATCATAATATAAATAGCAGTCAGTTTTTATGATAAAGTATGATTTTAATCAGTTAATATTAAAACAAAAGGCTTTAATGTATAAACAGATGCAGTGGACTCAACTTAGTGATCAACCAATAGTGAACAATTCTGTCTATTTTTACTATTGTTTACGTATATAGAGACAGGATGTGGAGTTAGAATCAAAAGCAAATTTGTTGCTATAGAAATCATAATCGGTAAAAATGGACCAACTCAGACTCCTGTTTTTTTTTTTTATTTTGTTCTTTATATTAAGCTCCTAATAGAAGCATAAACCTCTGATCTTGCATTACATTGAAAACTGCTGCATACAACAACAACAACCACCTTTAAATTGAATTGAAAATTTAAAAAAAAAATGAACTCAGATCAAACTTCTAACTTAAAAAATAATTTTTGTTTTTTAAATAAAAATAATACAAAATATTATTGTAAATAATACTCTGATCACTCAATCTGGTTCTTATTTTAGTAATGAAAAGTCCTGCTATCGGAATGCCCTTTCTGATTCAATTCATGTGGGTGGAATCATCTTTAATGCATTTAAGAGAAGACAGATATGTATTTTTTCACCTGTAACCTGGAAGATTTCTAGTTTGTTTTTGAGATTGTAGTACTTGTTTTGCTCTCTAGTATTCTTGATTTGTCTACCTTGACTGCTTTAATAGAAACATCAAGCAAATTGTTATAATAGAAAAATTACAGTGAAATAGTTATGTTTAATGATACTAAACAGTTAGAATTTTTGATCAATGCTTCAAACAAATATTCAAAACAAATACTTTTCTTATTAAAATATGCTTTTTTAAAAAATGATTCCACCATCACTAATAATAAACATATGTGAATTTAAAATATTTAGCAATGTCATACATCAAAATGGTAAGGATCAGTTACAGTAGGGCTGACATTCAATGTTCCCTCTAAGCTGCGCGGCTGCGCACTGCTCAAATTGTTGCCGCACACGAGAATTTATGTGCCGCGCAGGCGAGCATGCACACCGATTTGAATTGTTGTTTACTTATTTCTCACTCTGTCTGCAACATGATTATTGCTACATATATTTTGATTAAATACATTAAATCATTGACAAGAGATAATATTTTGTATAAAAGTATGTTTTAAAATTAATTTTAATCTCTACTTCATGATCAATATGCTGACGATCACGCCAAAATACTATATTGTAAAAAGAGAGGCACTGAGGTCGGCGTTATGTGCGCATTTTTCTTTAATCGCTAGTACTTTCGACGAACATATAGTCGTCGTCATCAGGCGAATTACCGAAAGAATTAAACGGAAATAATCCGATTTGGAATAGAACGCTTAAATTTAAGATGAAACTTTAGTCAAAGTCGTTAGGAACACGATAGAAATATTCAAAAATGTTCGAAAAACGAACGAGCAGAAAGCTCCATGATGTGCGAATACGCGCATGCGCAGATCTAGACACACACTGTACGCATTCTGGAGAATGCTAATTTTTACTTAATTGCTTGTATAGTGTGACCCATACACTGGGCAGCTCGAGAGTTGGAATGTTGCACGTGTCCAAGGTGGTAGTAAGAAGAGACTCCCATATAAATACGATTTTTCGATCCTTACAGCTCTTGAGCATAACCGCTTGGGACCATAGCGGGTTGTAACCCTGCTCAAGTACTTTTCTTGCGAGCTCGGTGGTGTGTCTNTTATAAAATTGAAGAGTCCATTTTTGATAACATGCAATCTGTTGCATTTATTAATTAAGTAAACTGGTCTTTGTACTGTAACTTTTGTGTAATAAAAACTCCGCCATTCAGTGCCTTTTTAAACAGTCTAAATAAGTATCACCTGAGTCAACGTGTAATGAGTATGGAGGGTGTGGTAAACACTCCATGTGCAATTCCTGCATGTTTGCAACTATAGAATGGATAATATGTGATCTTGCATTATCCTGTTGCAGAAGAATCTCATAAAGTTAAACATGGAAGACATGATATGCTGAATCAAGACTGATGTTCAATAATTCAGTCACTGCATCCATCATAACATGATGATTCTTCAGTATGATGTTTTTAACTCTAGCTATTAACTATGGTGTCACAACTTAATGAGCCTTGTCTGATCAGAACATTAGTCACTAAAGTCATACATCTTCAAAATTTATACACTTTCTGAAGATAAAGGCAATTTCAAACTAAGTCTTCATTCTTCAATGAATTTCTGCTGTTTTCATCTCTTCACTATAAGATATCTAATATTGGGAGTCCACTGTTTACTGTATGAAATATAATTTATAATATTTTGATATAAAAAAAAATACAATGCAAAAATTACTTGTTTAAATATACAATAAAGTGTATTTTATACAAAAAAATATTTTCAACCATTATTTGGCCATCATCTGCTTATATAAATGATAAAATTAAATTTTTTACGGAAAATGCTTCCTATAAAATTCACTTAATTATTTGCTTGAGAATACCAACAATTATTTTATGGAAAAGATTGTTCAAAGTTTCATGAAAGTAGCTGTTATTATCTACAAATATGAAAGGTTATCAGTTTTGTGGTGTTAATTACAAATTTTATTAAGAAACACAATGTTTGTGACACATACAAAAGTATATTCATTGAGTATCTTACAAAGAACAAACTTATTAGGGGTCATTCATAAATTACATAACACAGATATGAGTGAATAATTATGCAGGTAATCGTTACAAGAGATCTGAATATTAACCCACCCATTTGATCCCCACATAATGTCAGGGTCTCAACCCCAACAAAATGATTCATTTTTGTTTCTGAAGTATCGTATTGAGAACTTAACTGTTTGTCCCTGCTTTGTAATTGTATGCACATGTAATTAATAAAACAATGTAATGTTCTCCCATACTGTGTATTATTTTTTAGTACAATTAAGCGGATTGTCGATTGAGGAAGTCCATTATATTATTTTGAAGGTGGGTATGGGAAACAGTGTTATGAGGGAATGTGATGATAGTGGATGATCCCTTATTTACCATATTTACTCGCATATATGACAAGGTGTGTCTTTAAAGGTCAAAATAAAGAAAATTAGATTTATTAATACAATTATAATTTTACAGTAGAGCGTCGATTTTCTGAATCAATTGGGGACTGGGGTTGTCTGGATAAGTGATATTTCGGATAACTGATTTATGTACGAAAAAATAGTTTAGCGTATCCGATGTCGAAATTTTTATCCGTTGCGTGTCGCTTCGCATTAAATTTTCGTCGATGTTAAGCCTAACAAAGACTATTGTATCGTTAAAAATTATTTTTTTATTTTGTACAAACAAAATAAATATATTGAAAAATATAAAAACAATAAAAAAACTTATACTTCAGATGTTAATTTAGTATCAAAAACGTAAAATATTTGAGTAGCCCAAGACATAGCC